TATATATAATATATATTAGTATATTATACCAAAATATCTTACAGAGATATCGGCATAGCTCATATTATAATGTTATACATAACCGTGTGACGTTTTATCGAGAAAAAAAAAGAACAATGGTTTTACAGTAAACACCTTTTATTATTATATTATTTATAGATAATAACTGTCGTGGACAATATTAATACCTAATAATTCAAGGTGTATACCTTCTTATCATAAAGGGTTTTATAATATATTATCATATAGAATGTCTATTCGAATTATACGTGCGGCTACAGCAGTCTGCAGTTTGTAGCTGATGCATTTCTGGCGGAAACCCCGTGCTTACGGATATTCCTGTATAATATGCTTCCAGTACACTATATTGTCTATATTAATATCTAATCTTCGTATATTATGGATAAAACTCGATAAAAGTAGATTTTGCTACCGTGTTCTCTACCACCAGATGTATATGGATCCCATTTACTTTCATTCGTCGGGTATGACGGTATTCCGTATTATTGTGCGCCTTCATAATATCACTAATATCAGTAAATAACAACATAATAATTATATACGTATTCTTATTGATATCTTATCATCATGTTATTAATAATTATTGCTTTATTTTTATAATATAACATTTTTAATTCGTTGTTGATATCATGGCACGTCATCGTGATGGTTTTCCCCTTCACAGCGGCGCGGCGTTGCAGTCGGAAGAGGTAAGGTAGATAATATATAAAACGGGCGTGTTTTAATTCAATCGGACGGCGGGCCAATGGGAACGGTCCAATGGAGAGAATTAAAATCATCTTATGGTATATTATGCGTTCGGATGGTTTAGTAAGAATTTTACCATGATATAGTGACTATATAGTGACTATATTATAGCTAGACTATAAAATTTTAAATTATATACAACGTGTTCAACAAATTTGGAAAAATATTCATTACTGTTTGTATATTTTTATAGTTATACAGCCATACAGGAACATATTAGTATATCAATAGAAATTATAGACAGCACTGATGCACATTTATTAGGTAAAATATGTAATAACTTCACTAATTATAATTTAAATTATATTATATCATATTATTGTTTGTCAGTCCTAATTAGTCTATAATGAAGGTCTCCAAACTTTTTGAACATTCTGTTTAGGGTATAATCAACGGTCCGTCATATATAGGTATGTTTTTAATATAGTATATATTATACGTGTATATATATAGGCATATAATCTTATATCCGGCTAAGTACTAAGTAGGTATATGTATGTGGTTGACAAATTGACAATTATATTAAATAATATATTCGAGATTCACTTAGCATGGAATGTACACAAAATATAAAATGTCTATACCTATTACATATTATTATACGTGAATATATATTATATCTATATAATATGAAAAACAATAATAGGTATTTAAGGTATGTAATGGCATATCTAAGGATTGATGTGAACGGAAGAAGGGAGTGATGGGTGGATGACCTCTCATTGCTTGCTTGAGTTGGCTTTCAGTTTTACAATACTATAAAATATTTTACCAATTTATTTTACAATGATTGGAAATAACTATGTATTGTTAAAATAGTATTAAATTAAATAAATTGACAATAGTTGCACGATTATTTACGGGTTATGGAAATAGTCTAAAGCTTCCTTCTGTATCAAAACTCAAGAGTTGAGTTACACAGTTTTAATCACCCCTCAGTCCTCACTTTTTGTTTTTGGTCAAACTTTAGATCGCTATACTGGCTCAAAGTTTAATTCATATGAATATAAATTACAATATGCGAGGATGCGTGATTATTATCACGAGGTGTTATTATTACAATTAATATAATATATTAAAAATTAACTGGTATAAAATATAAATAATATATTATTTTTAATTTTTTCAGGGGGAATATGCGACAACATAGGCCATTAGGTGTGAGGTGGTACGGTGGGGGTTATTTTTGTAGGGTTGTAACTCGTGTTTGTGTATATGGGGCAAGTATATGTTGCTAAAAATCCTGGGTGGTCACCCATCCGGGAGCTAGCAACAGGCCGGTACACTGAATGCGTACGGCCGCGCCTCATCAAGCCACAATAATATTGTACTGTCATCAATGTCATCTATATAATGTTTATATATTATACATTGCGCCGATGAATACATATTTTGCACAAAAATACTAAATGTTCAAATCTATGATTATTATATAAATATAAATTTTAATAGTATTATTTTATTATAGGTTGAAGTAATAGATACATAATAAAAAATTACATAAATTAACTGTCTATTTTATACTGCCTATCATTATTATATTATTATAGGTAGATAATATTATTTTATATACCTTCCTTCCCACAATTCCGAGAAACGTGAAATTATAAAACCGTATACCTGTTAATATATTACGGAGTTACACAGAATCGTAAAATTCCGTATATTCGAAGAAATCGAACAAAAAATGCTTATTGAAATTTTTTATTTCAATTGTTAATTTTCTACGAAATGTTTCCCTTCGATGGTGGTACCGTAAAATGTTAACTTTTTAACTATATAGGTTAGGTACGTTGTTTATTATTATATTGTGTTTGTTTGCATTTGGATATAATATTATGTACCTATTTATTACGTAAATATTATGTGCAATGACTGTATTATAATAGATCAATAGTGTATTTTATATATGAAATTATTGGTATTACATTTTTTTTTTAATATATATAGGAATTTACAATCTGTTCTTAGCTAATATAATAAGCAAATAAGCACTGCAGAGTAATTTACATATGAATCTTTTGAGGAGAGAAGCCAGCCATTAGTGAAACTACATAATATTTTGAGTTTTTATTTTATATTATTATTTTTTTTGGTTTTTTGGTTTATTGAATTATTTTAAATTTGAGGTAGAAGGTCGAAACACCATCTTGGAATGGATGACATTACAATTAAAGTGTTTTTTTGTTTTGTTTTCGAAGACACTTTATATATCTATAAAAATAGGTCATTTATCAACACTGAAGATAGTTTCTGGTTGCAAAATTGATTTATTTTATACTTTAAGAAATGAGATTGCAATACTTTTAAAAATTACCTTAATACTGCGCAGAGTATTTGACAAACGCTGTTTTTTTGTTTTTATTCAAAAATCAATAACTTGATAAAGATTAAACATTAAAGACATAAGTTATRGAATGTTCATACAAATTTGTTAGCATTTTATTTACCGTCTATATGATATAATGTTTTCAATATTTTGGTTATTTTTGTGCTCTATATTTAGGCACTTATATACTAAAAAGTTTATTTTTTCAAAGGCTTTTATATATGTATGATACATTATTTTACTGAGTAAAATCCATGGATATTCAATACAAGGTTAAGTTAGTATTGTTTTTACTGAAATAAAAATAAGTTTAGCATGTGGGGCGCGTGGATGATAATATTCGTTTTTCGTTTTTTATTGCAACTATACCGTCGTGTGTCAGTTTTATATATTTAATACGCCTACATCATTAAAACGTGTATGATGTATGTACAATATTATATACTTACGAGTGCAATAATAATATTAATATAATATTTACGCTTGGTGGCGTGCAAACCGACCGACTGGCGGCATTCGAATGCACGTGGAGAGCTCTAATTTCATTCTATAATAAACGATCCCGACAATTCGACCGTACTGTATATAATGTTATGTTATTAATATGTATACATATACAATTCATATATAATAGCCTTACAGGTATAATATAGGTACTCGCATATTATAATATAATATTGTCTAGACTCTAGAACAACGCACGCAGCGCACCGCAGTCCATATATAATATTATAAGTCATAAAAAGGCACGAAAACCCATATAAAATATATAACCATATTATATAGGCATTGCTGCGGTCTACATATTATTATAATAGTGAACGTAATAATATTATTATTTATATTATATATATATATATATATATATATATATAATAGATCCTATATGTATTCTGTATTAACGCTCTAAATATTAATATAGGTGTTATGATAAAAGCGCATAAAAAAAATGTATATAATTTTATTATTTATTTTTAGCTGCTGAGGTATATATACATAAGTACTTGATATTATGCAGTTATAGGTATTATTATTATCATTATTATTCCCATCATATTATTTACATTACCTACCTATAGGTATTTTGCTGTTGTTGTTATTATTAAATGCCCATACAATTATTAGGTATATTCTATCAACGAACAGCACTCGGTATTTTGAAAAGTACCTATATATAATATTAACTTATTCGACATTTTCTTAGTGAAACATGTTAAATATGTGCGTTATACGTATTACTTTTAACCTTGTTATAGTACTGTAGCATGGGTAAATTGATAACCCCAACTATCAAAATATTCATATTATATGTTCCCTGCATCTGTCATCCATACTAACGGGCGAGACCCATAATATATATTATTATTTTTTATTAAACTGTTTATATTTATCATAAAAGTTTAGAAAAAATTACCATTAAATATTTAAATTAAGCTTACTTTATAGTTATAATACAAATTTCCAAAGATATAATATAATAATAATATAATAACTGTATATACCCACTATAATATTATAGGTAACCCACTTATCAAAATCAAATATTTTAGTTACTAGTTATTTTACTGAAGTGAATACCTATTATAATATGTTTTTACATAGAAATTTACTTATCAGGGGAGACGATATGTAAGAAAAACCTTAATAAGAGTAAATATTTGATATTTCCGAATAATGTCACATCACTAATGGTTGTAACGATTTATTTAACTGTGCTATGGTAAAATATCATTCACCGTACGTACGCTTCTATAGTCACTATAACTTACATTGTGGTCTGTCGTCTGTGATATTTTAATATAACATGAATAAAATATACATATATTTAGTATGAATTGTATAAATGCATGTATGCGTTACGCGGACGTATTAAGGAATTAATTGTGTATATATCGGTTTTCAGGGACTCCGATCAGTCGACTACCGATCATGGCTAAACGTGTGTTGGACCTGTACACGCTGTACAAACTGGTTGTGCAGAGAGGTGGAATCGTGGCGGTCATCACCAAAAAACTTTGGCAAGAGATAATCCGAGGCTTGGGCCTACCGCCGTCTATCACTAGTGCGGCTTTCACATTGAGAACACAGTATGTATATATTACTTATAAATATAAAATATAAATATTTAATGATGCAAACGCCTAACTTAGTATCGGTTTTGTGACAATTCATTAGCGAATGACAATACAGTGCAAAAATCATATTTATTAAAATATTTATAATTTATTTTTTTTACCAAGTTGATTAAACATTAAATTATTATTATTAGTTATTGATAGATACCTATAATAAGCCAATGCAAATAATAGTATAAAATAAATCATTTATTTATAATATTATACCCGTGTTAAAATTATGGTTATTCTATACCGCGTGATGCTATGATATTTTATGAACTATTCTTATGGCTTATTATAATTAGGAACTTTACACTAATATTTGTCAAGTTTTAGCAAACATACATTTTTTTTTTCATCGACGTTTACAGAAAACAATCAATGGTTTAGTTATAAATACATACTTAACATTTTATGCATATATGCAGGTACTTGTTTTGGGCGATTTTGGTTTTGATTGCACCTCAAAATTATTTTATTTTCATTAGGTTTAATATCAGCACATGCCCAATAATTGCCCATTGTCCATGTCTGTAATATTGTTGTTTACTGTAATAATTGTTTTCCTCTTTGGCTCGTATTTACGTAAAATCCTATAACTGAAATTGCACTGTTTAATTTTATAATAAAATCTATAGTTTACCGCTGTTATTACTTACATCGTTTATCGAATGTAATACCAATACCAATGTTAATATGTAATTGTGTGGACATTCTATAATATACTATTGTACCGTTTGCAGATATGTCAAGTACCTGTACGCGTACGAGTCGAAAATGAATCAGTTCAGTTCGGTGGACGAATTGAACATGGCTATAGCCGGAAACCGGCGCGAGGGTCGCCGGAACAAGTCGCTTCTGTCCGAGTACTTGCCCGCGCTCCCGGTGACGACGGCCGCCGGACAGCTTCATCACCACGGTCAACTGTCGTCGGCGGCGCACGGACAGCATCATAATCACCAGCAACAACAGCACCATCACCAACAGCAGCAGCAGCACCATCACCACCAGCAGCAGCAGCATTACGCCAGCGTGCTAGCTGCTGACGATCGGTTCCGACACTTGGCAGCCGCTATCATAGACAACAACAGACATCGCGCCGCCACGGAACAGGGAAGACAGCAGCCGTCGTCGTCTTCGTCGTCGCCTCGGCCAGGCAGTCCGATGCAACGTCTGGCCCAACTCCAGCCACCACCGTCGACGGGTGCTGCCGAATCTTCGCCGTTGTTCAACGGCCACCAGCTACAGTTGCCGCATTACCAATCAGCCACGATGATGGCCGCTGCAGCACATCAAGTGGTGGCCGGCGACCACACTAGCAAACAGCGAGGTACTAAATCTTACGTTTTACATAATTATTAATTTAGGGCAGACAATTAGATGCCCTAGAAACTTATTAAAGTGGTATATTGTCTGTACGATTTAATGTCMTAAATATGTTATTTAAAAATAATATTCTTTAAAAAAAATATTAAGTTCAAAATTTCAAATATTTTTCAATTTTTTTTATATTTCAAGTATTTTTGAAATTTTATTCGTAATATACGAAGTATCAAAATCGTTTATTGTTTTAAAAACAAATTTTTGTTTATCCCTGGAAAGCCATCATAGCTATGAAATGTTATAGAATATAGAATATTCAGTATAATAACCCAAAGTTTAATAGATTCAACTCGGATGAATATGTTTTAAATATAATATATATATATATATATATATATATATATTATGTTCCTACATAATTTGTTTATTTATCAAATATTGTATGTAGTAATTTGGATTTATGATTTTCAACCTGCATTTTTCAGGTTTTAGGAGTTTGAATTTTATTTTACTCAAAATCTTTAATTTCATTAATTGTTTTTAGTTTTGAATGTTTAAAAATCATTATTTAGCTATATTCATTCGTTAAATCTTTGTCGATTAGTTATGTTTTATTTTAAATATCTCGTTACAATAGGTATAGGTCGTGATATATACGTACGTGATGATTGATCGCTCATTGAATAAGATAGTTGTTGATTTAAATGAACATGAATTTAAAAATTTAAAAAAATACTTCAAACTTTCTTTTTATTGTTTTAAAGTATTCGTATTTTTGATACAAATTTAAAATATGACCGTTAGGTACCTATTTATACACTGTATACACTGTATTATTAGTATCATTTTCGGTTTACATATCATTAAGTTTATTTTTTTGGTTCCATTCGTTTTCAATATTGAACTAAATAAATTAAAAAATCATCAACCAAGTTATATACAGCCATAAAAAACATGATATCCTCTAAAACTTTTGATCGTAAATATATTCAGTTGGTCGTGTTCTTGGAAAGAATAAGAAATTGTTTTGTGCGCATTTTTTAGCTGATGTGCCGTCTAAACTACAAATGCACATAAGAAAAATACTGCATTTTGTCACAATCGTGGTACCTAAAAATCAATAATTTAAAAGAGCTTATAACTTTATCTTTACGATGCATAAAATAATACAACTATATTTAGAAAATGTTAAAGACTTTAATGTATAGACTTTGTACGGATCTCGTATTATTTAAACAATACTTTTAGAAATTACAATAAGTCAATCACATGTTATAGAACGAGCATTTGTTTTTTCTCGGATTTGTATTTATTTATTTTGATTTTTTCTATAAACTTTGTGACATTTTTTATTTTCTGTTTATATAATACGGAATAGTTTCGTGCCAAGAAAAGGATAAGCGGGAAATGGGTAAACACACTGACAACTAACTACAATCCCCTTGACAGGTGTGTCCGTCTGACGCTGCCCCAAAAATAAAAATGTTCAATTTCATTTCTAAATAATAATTTCACCTTTATTCTACTTTTAAATGTGTGTATATATAACGTTTTTTGTGTATCTATTCATTTTGTTTTAATGTATTTTTGAAACGTTACCAAGAATGAACAAAAAAACTATCACGACGTGTTCTAATTTCATTATATGAATATGCTCTCTCGACAACTTTATATAATATATATATGATTCTATTTCCTTTCCTCTCTCTCTATCTTTCTCTCTCCACAGAGCTTAGCTCATTCATCAAGTACCCTTCATTAGTGAAAGAGAAGTGTAGCAAAATTACATTGCTACTTATAAAAGCTGAAAATAAATTAATATATACCTACTATTATTAAAATCCAAGTAGCTATATTAAAAAATATACACAAGTATAGAAATCGTTTCAAATCTTTTTATTTATACCTTAGTCAGAAAAATATCAGTAAAAATTAAAAAATGTAACTACACTTATTATTCTGTAAATTATGTTTAAAAAAAAGTTGTTGCAAACTTTATATTGCTTAGTAAATATATATTAATTTTTTTTAAGTTCGGGTATCGTTTTTAATAACTTAGGTCCTATAACTTTTTTACAATCTATACATTCTACAATACTGAAGTAAATTCAATATTATATAGGTATAACGATGATAAAAAAGGGGTTTTAAAAATAATTTTAAAAAATACTAGACTCTATTGAATAAGAAAAAGTCCCATTATTCGTTTCCATACCTATGAATGTGATATAACATAAGAAATGTATGAAGTTAGATGTCAATGCGTGTTTTGTTTTACTGCAATAAAAACGCATAAACTAAATTCGAGCCTTCTTATTAATGTTTCAAATATACATACTTGAAATGATATAAAAATCGTAGTTATTTAAAGAAATCACTGCAATACTTACACAGCTTTACCATGTATAATGTACGAATTGTATTGCTTTTAATAATTTTTATACGTGATATAGTATTTACATAAGATTAAAGTTTTTTTTTTTTTTTATTTGGCTCTTTGTTCAGGTTGTCCTAAAACTTCATGGAAGAGAGACGTAGAGTTACTAAATTAATACTTACTAATAATGCAATATTATCACTAATTCTCGAATACATAATGAATAATGATATACTAAAATATGTGGACATCGATTAGCAATAATGCTTGTTCGGCCAGCACTGCAATTCATCTGTTCAGTCTGTATAGTTTATACGTTATATAACTTTCTTATTTCTGCTCCATTACAATATGATCGCTGCAATAACAATACTACGAGTATACTACATTTTGACGATGAGCTCTATGTTTGCTATTGCAATTATAACCGGCACCTTATCTATCTATCTATATATATATAGCTATATATTAATTCGCTGTGATATAAGACATAACTTTGTTAGGTATACCTAACTTTATATTAGATTGTTGTGCCCAGGTAAACTGATGTAGGTACCTACACTTGTGTTTGCGCAGGAAGTAAGACTGGGTATATCGTATAAGTATAATATATATATATATATATATACCTGCCTATAGTTGTACCTATACGGTATGCAACGTTTTATATTCGTCCAGAGTCGTCAGGCTCCGTTCTCCGCGGTCTCGGGTCGTTGTAATAATAATAATAATAACATATAATAATATATACAGTCCGACGACCGTATCTGATGCGAACGGGCGCGGGGACATTCGTCAATGTTATCAATTTACTTACACATTGTGTTGTAAATACGGCTTTTATTTTATTTTATTTTATTTTTTTTTACTACGGTCTGGCTGCATTTTTCCTCCTGCTTCTTCATCTCTTCGACAACGAATATCCCGCTCACAAAACTTACACATACACCTGTGTGATATATTATATATATATATATATATATATATATATATATATATACATATTATATGTACGTACTCACGCATAATATCCAGCTAGGTACCTGCCTATATTATGTATATGCGTGTAACACTTTTGATACGCGCGCGACGTGATGTGTATACAACTCTCCCGTACCTATAGCTGTTTTTGAATAAATCAATTTACACCGTGACATCGTGTGTTCGTTTGAATCCATAACACAATATAATAATATAATACGTGCGCCTTTTGATATTTAAATATTCAACATGGATACATAATATTATACATTGTTGGTTTTTCTTTCATTCACACCCGCCGCCCTGTAAGTCCCGCCGCCACCGTTGCCGCCGCCGTCGTCGACGTTGTCGTTGTCGTCATATCGTATATACTATCATATATATACACATATAATATAAAACACRAGCGTGCGCGCGAGTTTGTTCTTATTATAATGTCTGTGTACCTATATAAAAATGAACGAATATGTATAATAATAATAATTATTATTATTTCGAAAGAAAAAACTCGTGTTCGTACATAAAAAAAAAAAAAATGTAACAAATTACCGACACTTGTTCACGACTCGCGCGCTGTTTTACATCCATAATAATAATAATACAATAAATGCATACTGTATACTGTTACATACGTATGGTCTGCTCCAGACGTCGCCGGATGACTGACCGACTGAAAAATAAAGAAAAAGAAAAATGTTTAATCCGCCGAATTCGTCTTATATGTACCATATGTATTATATAGTACCTACTTGCCGTGATAATACATACCTACAACCTCGTAGTCTAATGCACATGACGAGAGACGACATATTATTTTCTCGACGTGAATATTACATTATAATTTCGGTGATTTTACACGCGCAAAGCACATTAGGCATTATTAATTATTATCATCGTGCACCGACCACCGCCACCACCATAATAATATTATGTAATACTGTACATAGGAATAATAGGGTGACTGCGGCCACATATGGTTTTTTTTTTACAAAGACGGATTTATTACTATACGGATATAATATATAATATACACACATATAAATATATATACTCTGTACAATGTGCATTTTTAAGTTCGTGGTTTTTATGTATTGGGTATAGGTATTAAATGTGTTTTTGTGAAGACGCGTGTTCATCACAATAATATACGTATCCCATATTATATAATTATTATTAAGTCGATGATTTGGATAAATCGACGAACGATTAATAATAATTAATAATATTATCACCTTGTACAACATGTTACCGCCACACCTGCACGGGCTGCACATCATCACATATAGCTTGGATTCGACTGTTAAAAGTTCGATTGTTATGAATTTATGATATTTGAAATGTTATACAGATTATCGAACAATTACAAATACGCAAGTCTTAACGAATGTTTTTCCTTTTTTTCTGCTATTTGTTTTTGCAATTCTTATGAATGCAACCGGAATTTAATAATAAAAAAATGGAAAGATTGTATAAAATGATAAATTATACTTGCGCACTAAACAAATTTTATTTCAGTAATATTTGACCATAAATCATATAATTTTTCAGAAATTCTCAGTATGTTGATGTGGATGGATTTAATGAGAGCTAATCAAACTGCAGCCATTCCAAGACTTCCAATACAAAGTAAGTTTAAATATTTGTGTAGTATAGATAACCACGGAAAGTGCACTACAGTAGTTGCGAAACGCGTCTTCCGTATCGTTTTCGTAGTTTATTGTAATTATTATTTATTATTTAATAGTAATATATTTAATGATATACAAATTCGGAATGAGTAAATGTTATATTTATTATTTATTTGCTCACCACACGTCCCAAACATATTGTTTTCACCACGACGAAAACTAAAACCCACCTTACACTCATTGCAATATAATAATATCATAACACCACTGTAGACATTTATAATATTACCTACCTATGAGACAACGTATGCATGATATTAACATGTTTGGCATTTTTCTTTCTGTCAACCCGGCAGACTTGCAGCAGACACCTTACGTCTCCGCACCCGCAGCGATGAATCTGCAGCGCCAGTCTCCAGTCACGTTGCTCCCAAACAACGGACCGCCGGCTGTACCGGAACAGTGTGAGGCGTTGAATTTGGGTAAGAAGGAACATGGAACGAATAACAACAACGCAGGCGAAAACGAGGACGAACCTGATCTAAAACGAATCAAGAAGGAACGGTCGCCGCGAGTTGTCGAGATCAGCCGTCCCAACAGCCCCAAGACGAGCCCTGAACGATTTCCGGCGCCAACCGGAAGTAGCCCGGTACGGGAGTCCAGTAAATCGCCTGAACGGAATGGCGATGACTTGTGCAGTGACAGCAACGGTACGATTGAAATGGACATCAACGTGTCTGCTGGTAAGTGTAATATTTTTTATAAAATATAAATTCATATATTATAAATACAATTATTTTTATAATTATCTAACAAAAACTCGCTTCGCGATCGATGTAGGTAGACCATTTTTTTTTCATGTACCATACAATAAAATACTACTCTTGTGTATAATACGGTATACATATAGTACGTCTGCACGAATAATATTATTACCTATTACTTATTAGTTACTACGAACATAAATGATTATATATAGATGAGTATAATGTATATAAACTTAAAAATTATAGCCACATATATATTAATATAACCGGCAGATATTCGACTTGGCTTTCAAGGTCTTGATCATATAGAACCTATATATCATATACTGACATAAGTATATAACTCATGTTTTTCCGTTCAAAGTATTATATTATAATTGATTTTGTTGACCCTCGTCGACCATATAGGACTCCAGGAAAGGGTTGGTTTTATAAAGAGAGCCTGATAATATCATATAAATACTTTGAGAGTATACTTGCAAACATTATAATAATACGAGTTTATGGCTCCGTTTTTTTTTTTAACCTTTTGTACTTTTTAAATATCTATACCTTCGCTTCGTATAATTCAACGCTGAATATTTAAATATTACAATAATAATTTATTAGTAATTACATAATAAATATTAATTATTAATTATTAAATATAATTAGTAATTACTATTTATGTTCTGGCGTGTAATACATGACAAAAAATAAATGTATACTTTATTTTATTTCAGTACGTATTAAAATAATGTGACAATTTAAATTTCTTAAATTTTATTCTCGTGATGTTTAGACATAGAGTCATTATATCTTCTCGAAATAATTAATATTTAAATGTCAAATAATAATTCTATGTCGATGATTTCGGTTATTTCGGTTAATGTGTGTGCATAAATCCTAAAGATAATTAAACTTCGAATAGAGTTTTGTGGGACATAATGTTTCCTTTTTAATTCAATGACCTAAAAACAAATGTGATTTACATACACTTTTAAATATTACATACACTATTATGATAGTTGAATCAAGTAGATAATGATAAAAAAAAAAATTGGAAAATTGGAAAATAAATAATAGTTAATAGTAAGATTTTCATTTTTAACTTTTTTTACTGTTATAAATAAATAATATTATACTTTATAGTTTATTTTACAAATATATTTTTTGGGTCGAAATTTATGTTCAAAACAATTTTTATTTCACAAACATTCAAGTAGGTACAATGAATATCCATTGCCAGAATAGTTGAGAATTTTAATAATATCAATATTGTTATAATTAATTGTATGTATACTTATTATAGGTAGTAGGTACTTATGTATTTAATATATTGTGTAGGTATAGTATATAACTTGTAAACAAATAACATGCAATAATATAATGTTATATACTTATAACTCATAATACACTTATACATTAATGTGATATTGTTAATAATAGTATAATTATTAATAATATCAATATTGTTATAATTAATTGTATGTATACTTATTATAGGTAGTAGGTACTTATGTATTTAATATATTGTGTAGGTATAGTATATAACTTGTAAACAAATAACATGCAATAATATAATGTTATATACTTATAACTCATAATACACTTATACATTAATGTGATATTGTTAATAATTATACTATTATTTACATTTTATTCAGAATCTTGTTTTCGATGTTTAGGTATGCCTAGCGGTCTCAAAATAAACGTTTGTAAAAGGACAAAAAATGGGATTTACAAAGGTCAACTCGTCAAGGTTGAATCAGAATTAAATGGAGGTAAATACTAAATTTGAATTTTTTTGAATAGCTATAATATGATAGAATCTGTGTTTTAGCTTATAAATGAATGTTCTCCTTTAGATAAACACATTATTTTATTATTATTAAACAAAAATCAAAGTATGCTGGCGATTTTTGAATCTATTAATATCCTATACATGGGATTTAAAAATGAAAAATTATTTGTGTTTTGATCAAAAAATTTGACAGTTAACAATTATTTTAGGAACGAAAAACTCTAAACCGTTTATTTTGCGCCTCAATGGCGAACTCTACACAGGATGCCTCCAACAACAAAACAGTGTTGTTAATCATGAAGACAATCATTCTAATTAAAATAGTAGACATTGATAAGCACAACGAATGATTTTTCCTGTAAATATAATATTAGATAATACTTTAGAAGATAATTAAGAAATATACAAATAAATTGCATATATTATACCTTTTCATTTATATTTTGTAATATACATTATAAAAATTAAATATTAATATACATAGTTAAATTCGATAATAGTTTGAGTTATTTTTAATTTAAGATTATACATTGAGTATACTATATTATATGTCTGTCTATTTTAAAACTACTTTTTTATGGAAAATAAGTAATTTTCTAATATTATTATTATACCGTAGGATAGTTTAGAAAATACATATTTATTTATCAATATAGTTATTACGCAAATATATATAATATCTAATTTATATATTATTCATTTAACTGCGAATAGGAGACTTTTTTACGATATTTTTAAAATGTATTTGTATTATTATTATTTTTGTAAATATAATGTGTAAATTGTGAGTAATTCAAATTAATTTTAAGGCTGTGCATTCTTTAGATCTCATCCTAATGGGAAAACCAATAACATAACACGTTCTTGTAAAATACACGTACATTTTTGGATTTGAATATTAATCAGTATTAGCATCAATGTATAATGATTGAATAAATTAAATTTTTTTTTGTATTATGATTATATAGAAATGTGTTTGTGTCTTATTATTTATTTACCTAATTAAAATAATAATTCCTTTACGTTGTTCCCGGTAATAGAAACGAATATTTTATGCAGACTGTCATCATTCCGGTATAGTTTCTAAGCACAAAAAAAAAAAAAATGCTAGATATTTGTTTAATGTTCTAAATCAATAATGAACATGAAATACTTCAATCACGTGTGTTGGGTTAATTATTATTGTGTATCTAACGAGAGAGAATAATATTCGAACGTTATTACGAATCAACGACGAAAAATCGTGCGAAAAATTATAAGTAAGTCCATTATCTATAAGTGTTTAATTATTATTAATAATCTCATTTGGTAATGAGTAATGATAAATCATATACCTAGGTAATTTAATCATAGGGAATTAAAACATTATTTACTTATTCTACTATTACAATACTTTATAATACTTAATAGTTTCTGATCAAAGTAGTATTAAAATTAATACGATTACACGAACATACAATATAGTTGTTTCGATAACTATATTATAATCGTTATGTAGGTACCTTACAACAAATTAATAAATATATAGGTTTTTATTAAATTGAATATTAATGTGATMAAAAACAAATTCTTTATTAGAAAGTTTAATGATTTAAATCTATATAATATTACGCTCTAATGTACTTTATTATTATTTATTAATAACTATTAAGTATTTTAAAAGTGGTTTCACCTGCAGCAAGTGATATTTCTTAATTAATTGAATATTAAGTCATAATAATATTTAAAAACAAATATGTTATTCTGTTTAGTTTTAGTAAAAATAATCGATTTGTTTGAAAATCGTAGTATTATTTTATAACAAATAATCACGATGATATTCAATATGAAAGCTTTTTATGTTCGTTTGATAATTTTGGACCCGCGTAGTGCAAATGATTGCTATAGTATGTTAAAATAATTTTTTTCATTTCAGACAGGGTAAGTTCCATAATTATTATATATTCTAATAATCACTTATAGCGAGCATGCACGATATTATACAGCAACAACATGAATAAAATATTAAATTGGGGGTGGAGTGGCCGAGCGGACTAAGGCGTCGGTTGCGACGCACRCAGTCGCCGGTTCGAATCTCGGTCACGGGCGGCATCGCTCTTTGGGCATTTCGCGATGTCTGGAGAAAGAGGCAGCCGGCCCCCATCCGGGCATGGCAGAAACCCACGGGTGCCCATTCAAAATTCTGCCAAAAAAAAACCCACGAGTTAAAACCTTACAGTACCTTCCCCTACAGTTCCCCAGGCTAATGACCTCAGTTGTCGAAGCCCTAACCATAAAAAAAAAAAATAAATAAATAAATATTAAATCATCAAGTTTATACCCTATATCTTAACCGTTGTTTAGTTATTATTTATTTATTTTTTTATTAAATATAATTTATTGAAAATATAAAAATGTTTTAATTTGTATTTTTGATATATAAAGGTACAATAAACAATTTTTATATATAAATAATATGATAACAACAAGACGGAGGTATAGTGGTATATGGTATAGACTATAATAGAAGAGAGTGACAGACGACAGTGTTATTATACTTCAATGATACGATCAATTGTTAATTAAGTTTTTATTATTATTTAAACTTCATAATTTTCAACCATTTATCAAAAGGTCTATCAAACTTTTGGAAAACCGCAATAATATAATATATACCTTTTTCTATGTTCTGACTTGATTGCAATACGTGGCAGACTTTATTCTTTCAGATTATACGAAATAAAGCTCAAAATTTGCTGTGACAAAAATATATAGAGGATCCCGTTATACCCTGAGATTATCGCCATTTTTTATCACTCAAAATTTGTAGATGCCACGTTATTAGGATTTTTTTTAAATAATTTTTTACGTTTTATTGAATAAGAAATACCTATTCGTAATATAGGATTTATTTACTTTATTTTTATTTTACACCTATAATAAGGTAGCACAAATTCTCTAAACTTTGTGAGCTATGTAGTAGCATTTTTATTTAAGCTATGTTATGCATACATATTACAATCAATATTGTAATATTATATTATTATCAATTGTTTTATTATTTATCATTATGTTACTTAAAAACTGTTCTATATAGCGACACAAATATTAATTAAAATTTGACAAAGTAAAGTATGCAAAGTCCAATGTATATCTAAAAACATTTTCATGTCTAAAATACGCATATAAATATAATATATGTATATATAGGTACTATTGAAGTATCATAAGTCAAATATGTAAAAATATTCTTCCGACAAATTAGTACCATTTATAGAGTTGACTTACAAATCTTTCACGCTTGTTAAATGAAAATGCACTCGTATTTGGTTAGAAACTTTAAGTCTATATACACAAATACATTAGGTAAAACATAATATACTTTATTTTGGTTTAATTTGTTGTTTGTACAAACGTTAAAAATTACTTTGAGTTGCTATACATATTATATTTGTATATGGATTATGGATACAATTTTAATTTCTTAATAAGAAATAATAATAATCAACTGGAATTATTTACGATTAATAATATATAATGTCTATTTATAGACATATATCTATTATATACATATAATATAAAAATATATGTTTACAAAACTGTAAAAGCGTGTATATTAATATTTATGTAAATATATTTCACACTTAACGATTAAACATTTATTTCCTCACAAGTTATGCTACAAGAATGATATACTTTCATATTTATTTAATTAAATTTTACAAGTACCTACTAAACTATAACCTGAGAACAATTCATATAATTTTACCTAATATTGGTCAAGAATTATAATCAATATATGTATCAATGTATCCGTAGCTGGCGTGACGCGTTTCAGACTGCTATACCAATGGCGGAATGTGACTGGGAGTAAGTAACGGCCACAGCTACTAGCTCCCGGATGGGTAACCACCTGGGTTCATAGTAGTTAAAAATCTTGCCACACATACACGTGTTTGCTACCTACCGAAACTCCATAAAAACAACCTACCGTACCAAAACCTTACCCCTACAACAGCTAATGCGCCTAATGGCCTTAGTCTAACGGGCTTAAGATCAATAATAATAATAAAAAAATATATATGTATCCATATACGTTTCATATAAGCTGATTATAATATACATTTTAAACTCAATTATAAAAATTAATGTACGTTCTCCAAAAATGCTCACGTTAATGTGTTATAACTTTAGTTTTGAATACTAAATATTATATGAATATTAATATTATAAGTAAACAAAAATATTTGTACCAATAGCTAGGTATACCTATACTCGTTTATCATATACTAGACAGATAAATATACCTATATATTGGTGTACAATATCGATTAACATTGTTTATTCAGTTTAGCGTATACATCATTATGCATAATATTACGTATATTATAGGTAATATTGAAATACGCATCCATAAGACGCATTACCATTATATTAACATAATATATAATCCATATTATTATTACAAATAGTTAATATTTTTAGTTTTTACCGTTGCACTGCACCTGCACAGCCTAGGAATCGGGAATTTGGGTGCTCCGTACCTTTTCTCAGAAAAAATATAAACTAATACTGTAGTAAATAATATTCTTATGTATATTATTGTGTATATATGATATATATCCTGTCATAGGTGAAACTTCGGTTCAGGCCACTAAGGCCATGGTCTGATCTAATACAATATATAGATCGCTATATGGGATGGGACGTGGACGTCTACAAGAGCATGCTATGTTGCAATGTTGCTAAAATTATACTGACTATAATATTTATAGGTATATTACATTGAGTTTAATATAACATCAATGTAAGTACTAGGTACAACTGTACAAGGCACCTACCTCCATATTGAATATTATTATTAGTTATTATTACACTTAACGGTCGTCATACATATATGTATTGTGTATACTGTCTATATTATATTATATATAAGTCTATAAAGCAGTGGTGGATTTAATATATTGAAATGATAGTATAGGTATTAAACACAAAACCATAATTAGATCAGGCATTAAACATTAATGCAAACCTTGCCCGCGAGCCGAGATTATATAATACCTATTCGCAGTAATTTAGGTGGACCTCAGAATAAACGCCTTGATTGCAATTATAGGGACCCGTCGGAATTCACCAGCTCGATGACTGCTAAATTCGCCATTGCTTCTAGCAGATATTATGCATAGAATATATTGATTATTGATATTACAATATAATTTTTTTTTATGCCTACTTATGTAGGTACCTACTACATTACACATAGGCTGTAGCCTAGTACTATATACTCTTTATACAAGTAAGTAGGTACTAATACTAAAATAGTACGACTTAAATATAAATATGGAAAATTAATAATTAGCTAGCAGGTTAGATTAGGTTTCAAACGTATGAAGTTTTTAATTAGGATGGAGAGGAATAAAAGAGCTATTTTTGAC